ACAAATAGTGTTTACAGTAATACAATATACATTAATTCATAATCTTATTATTGTGAAACTTGAAACTTACAAAAAGATCTATAAATTACCTTATCATATCACTTAAATGTATATCCTGATTATGAATTCTTAATGCCAAATACAAGATTGCCCATAACTTGGTAGGTGTTATTAATTCTGGACTTGTTTTATACTGAGTCGTTACATGATTTTGTTTGTATTTGCTGCGTTTGGATCTTGACACTTTTTTTGCCATATTCTCTATTTTATTCTTTTCCTTTTTAGCAGCTGAATTAAATTTTATCCTATACATTGCATATATAGAAAAAAAAATATAAATATATATACTATAAAAAATATATATAGCATAAATATATAAAAATATTAAAAAATAATGGAGAGAGTACAATCACTCTTTTTTCTTAGTTCTTTCATACAATTCATTCCTTGTTTGTGCTTGTTTCTTTACCTTATATTTTTAAAAGATTGTTCACTAGAATGTGCATCTTCTTCTGAGCTTACTTGTGACCGCATAAATCTATCATAGTCTGCAGTAACCATTAGTTTCTATGCACAAGACATATTATATTGTTAATAAATTTTCAGAAATTAGATTTTACAAATACATTACATTAGCTATGTTTGTTGTATCATACTTTACTCCTATTTAATTCTTTCAAAGAGGTTTTTTCGTTTGGATAGATAATTGTAGAATCTGCTGTGCTTTCAGTTTTTATTCGTTTTTGGGGTCTCTTTGGAATTCTGCCATATAGAATTTCAGCATCTCTATAAAAATGTATTATGTTATTATTCTCAATAGGATTAATTAAAATTTTTTATAACAGTTAATTTTTACAAATATTTCAAGAATTCCTGAAGAAAATGAAATAAATAAAAGAAATACATTGATAAATATTTCATCATTACAGAATATTTTTTAAATAAATGGTTGATATATAATGACAATATATAATGACCTTTTCTGATATCTTCTAGCTAATTTTGGTATCAGTTTCTTTTCTGTAGAGACAAAAGCTACTTCTAGTTTTCCCAAATATCTTGCCCACAATTGTAGCACTGTTACTTTTATATCGGCTGATACACCAAGTTCAATAAGCTCATTTGTCAAACCAATTAAAACAAAATTATATAATTCCCAAGATGTCCATCTGCTCTCCACATCTATGCAAGAAAATATCTTATTGATAATAAATCAAATTGAAATGTTTGATTATCATTATGTATTATAATATAAACTAATATATATAATAGTTATTTTTTCAAAATATAAAGATAAACCTGTTCTGTCACGTTTTGTACGATAGATTTTTGTTTTTCGCAATCTCGTAGTATTGTTTATAGGTAAATCATACTCTACTTCTTCTCCAATGTCCTAAACAAATGAAAATTGAAATTGTACTGCTAGTTCTTCTCAACATAATTATTTAAAATAGTTCTCTCATCTCCGATTTCTCTCATCTCTGAATTTAATAAAATTAGGCTTATTCGATGCATTTTTGTATGAAACAAAAGAATCCATAAGAAAAAAAACATTAGGTCCGTTCCACGAATCAAGATATTAAGCTTTAAAGTTGATGACTATAAAAGTTAGGATATCTATTATAACGATGAGATACAGCAGCACAGTCATGCACATGTACTTGAGACTAGAATAAGTATTTTCCATTTTAATTATATAAATTCTCTGCTTTAAGAATATATATTATTTTCTATGTAATTTTTATTTTAGTTAGGTATTTGTCTACAATTTAAAAGCATAAATTCTCTGCTTTAAAAATAAATTTTCTACTGTAAAAATAAAAATTATATAGAAAATAATATGTAAATGTGTTTTTAAGGCAACATTTATCTTAAACTCCTACAGTTGCTTCAACGAGAAACAAGCGCTTGCAATTCCTTTTGAAAGCTGTAATTGAGCTGAGAAAAGCTCTCTGACCACAGATCTTCTTCAATTGATTTTTGTATCCCGTGGTACTTGGCCTTACTGTAGAGGCCGAAATCCGCTGAAGAAGAGGAAGGAAAGTAGAAAATTTGCATTTTTAAAGCAGAGAATTTGTGTAACTGTACTATACTATGGATATATCTATATTATAGATGCGACAGATTTCCTAACCTGAATATCAATTTCAACAATTAATAACTCGTTCGCGGAACAGAGCAACACTTTTTTTTGTCAGATTTGTTCATATCCTACAAAAACGCGAAGATGAGACTAAAACAATTACTATCGCTACATCTCGTCGGTATAACAAATATCCTAACCTCAATAATCATCTTTAACGCTTAATATCTCAGTTTGCGGAGCCGATCAAATATTTTTTCTTACAAATTCTTTGGTTTCGTGCAAAAACGCGTCGAATAAGTCTAATTTTATCAAAATCAGAAGTGAGGGGACTATTCTAAATAATAACCCTTTTCAAAACTTACTCACACGTATACACACGTGTATACGCATTTGTAAAGAACATTACCTGGCTTTGCGTTTGACATATCATACAAAAGGAATAACCAGACGTTTTAAAAAAATCGCTACAACCACAGATTACACACTTCAGCATTTTCGTTGGTAAATATTTGAAAAAAAAAATACAACAAATAGGTTCGGATCATTCGGTATCGGATTAACACTAACAAGATACGAAATAAGATTTGTTTGCGTTGTTTGAAATTCACAAAAATG